AAAAAAAAAATGGCCAGGATATCCAAATACCAGAAGCTTCTCTGAAATTTTAGTTTGTCAAGTTACAAGCTACTATTAATTTTGCGTTGAGTTGAGCTACTGCTCTGAAAAAGTGAAGCTTTGCTACAAGCTACAAAAAATGCACTGAGGACATGTAAAAGGGCAATATTAATAAGAAAACTAACAACTATCTAATAACTATAAAATAAACTAACGGCTTCTGAAAGTTGCAATTTGTGGTCAGTTTGTGTGAACAGTAAATGTACATTTTGGGCCAACTTTTTCCACTGAAGCACTGACGTAGGCTAATTACACATTTACTCAGTTGTAACCAAAGTTCTCTCTATTTTGTTGTGGATCATTAAACTAATATGCTTGCCTCAGAAGTCTGTCCTAAATCAGTTTCGGGAGGTACCTTCATGCGCAAACGTTGCCTACAAAGCGAGGCAACAGGTCAGCTGCTTAAGCTTTCGGACACAGACTATAATTCAGGCTTTTTTCCCTTAAACAAAACAGTGAGGTTTTGAATGAATGAACAATCCCAGTTAGGCTCACAGTATCAAAACTGAAGAGGTGAATCTTTCCTAAGCAACAACAAAAATCCTTTTTACATAAAGGCCCCTATATACTCACAGTGAAGTTATTTTTCACTGTTTAGGGGTAAAACGAAGTTCGAAATACGTGAGCAGCAATATACTGTTAGCGAAAATCCCAACGGCGCCCACACTGCTGAAAGCATTGTTTAGATGAATATGTAAATATGTGCTGCACACTTTCCTTTTAGTAACAAGATAAACACCACAAAAATGAGAAAACAGCATGCATTTTTTATATAAAGCATAAGAAAAGTGTCTGATCATAGCAATATGGGTATGTTAATGTTAATATGAACTCTGCAAAGTAGCACTCCAGTAAAGTAATGTCATGTTTATTTATGTCATTTAATTCAATAAGTTATTGTCACAGACCAATGGTAGTATGAAGGTGTTTTGCAGCGGGAGCGATCTTTTCTGGAAAGTTCGCTTTGGCAAACCGTTTTGAACTCTCAAAATGAACATAAAATTAACTTCGTTTTGGCATGATTTTGTTTGAAATGATGCCACATCAGTTCGTTCTTCGATTTCGTTTGAAGTATATCTGAGTCAAAACATAGCACATGTACCGTACAGGAACTGAACTGATTCAATAAAATGAAAGGGACTTTACAATGAGAGAGAGAGAGAGGATTGTCTGAATAATGATCATTTAGAGAGAATCTGACTTTCTTATGAGCGAGATGACTGTCCAAATGAACTGACTTACTAGAGTGAATCAGACTTTTTTAATGCTACATAGAGAAAAGGATGGTCTGAATGGACTTTCCAATGCTACTTATGAGAGAAAGGACTGTCTAAATGAACTGACTCACTAGAATAAATGCCGCATACAGGAGAGGACTGTCTAAATAAACAGATTCACTAGAATGAGTCAGACTTTCCATTGCTACCAATAAGGGGCTGATCCTTTTGAACAAACCAGTTCACTGCAATGAGTAAAACTGTCCAATGCTACATATGAGGGACAGAACTATCTGAATGAACCAATTCACTACAATGATTCAGGCTTTCCACTGTTACATATGAAGGACAGAACCATTTGACCAAACCAATTCACTGCAATGAGTCAGGCTTTCCAATGCTACATGTGAGGGACAGAAACATCTGAACCAATGGATTCAATACAATAAATCATTACTACGAATCACACTTTCCAAATGTCACATCGGAAAAAACTGATTCACTTTTTAATGTAAATGTTACTAACAAGTTTGTAAAAACAAGCATGCAGCATGTTAAATAATATTTTTGACTATAATAAAGCCAGTTCGTTTACGCATCTACACAAAGCCCATTTTTGACAAAACAAGAGAAGGCAGGCTGTAGACATGTTCTTTTTATACTAAGAAGAAACAGGGACACACGAATAGCAGAAGCGTCTACTCTCAGAGCGCATATTAGTTTCATGATTACACATTTACAGAAAGAGTGAAAATGAAAACAGCTCCAGTTTCACAGTTTCATTTCGACAACTCTATCTCTCGAGAGCATCTTTCATACAAATTATAATCCTCTCCTCGAACAGTCAGACACTGAGACACTGAGTTTGAAAAGAAACATCCCAGTTGTGAATCAACAACCCAATTTTCCTGACAAAACAGAGGAGCACTGAATGGCAAATGAAAATGGAGAAAGCGCTTTTAATTTCAGGAACACTGACACTGCTCGTTTCACTGGTCCCATGGCACACACGTCCTCAAAGTTTCACAACAGCCTGTCAAAACAGATGTCGAGCTGTTCTGAGGACCAGCACAATAGGAAAGTCAGAATCGGAGGCCCAAAGAGGACAACAGTGATTGTCTTGCAAATCAACACTAGTTACTTTTGATTATAATGAGGTTTATAATAAGGTTTATTTCTTTTAAAGGTGCACTTTTATCTTTTGTTTGTTGTGCTGTCAATACCACACTCATCTTGACCTTATACTGACACCTAGAGGTGTGGATGTAGCCAGTGTTGTTATTATTATACTATTATAGTATCTATATGTATTTTTAATTAGATTTTATTTTTATATTTCAGTTTAGTTTAGTTTTTAGTAATTTTTTTTATTTACAAATTTTCTTCACGTTTATTAGATTTTTTTAAATATACCTTTTAAGTTAATTTTTTATTTCAGTTTTAGTTTCAACAATTTCAACTTAAACATTTGATTTCAGTTTGTTGCCAAGGCAGCATTTCTATTTTTTCAGCTTTATTTCAATTAAAGGGATATTTTACCCCAAAATGAACCAGTTTTCAGAAAAGAACCAGACTTCTCTGTTGCCTGAGGCTACGAGTTACAGGTAGCAATGTTGTAAATAATGTTCAGTTTCTTGCACAGACAGATCAGTTAGCTTCATAAGACCTCAATATATCGTCAGGAGCAACGGGTATTAATTTTGTGTTCCTTGATATGCTCAAAAATGGGATGCCCGGGTATTCCACTGCCCAGGAAATGGACCTGCTGCCTACCGTACTTCCGACACCGTCCACCTCCAGATCCACCTGAACCACCCTCTGCCAGCCTGGCTCCACGCTGAGGTAAGAGAGAGAGAGACAGAAACCAATAAGTGCTTTGAAACTGACAATTTTCTAATAGTCCATGCCGTGATTTTGAGAGAGAGGTCACAAGGTCAAGAACCATGCTGATAATTTTCCTTTTTTTATATTCAAAAACAATGCAACCGACACATGCGACCACATAGAGACAGTTGAAAATAACAGTTTGTGTGATGTAACAAGTCTCCAGAGGAAGCAGGTTTGAAGCCACATCAAGTTACTTAGAGTTTACCGTCACGAGTCGATCGAGGAACAAGGAGACACGCAAGTGAGAGACATCAGAGCTGCTGAGTGCAATGACACAGCTCTCAGCGATTACCGCACCGCAACACATTAAAAGAAGGATAGAGAGGAGAAACCCAACAGAGGGGAAAAGTAAGGTAGGAGGTATAAGAAAGGAAGTGATATGGAGAGACAGGGAACAGATGGAGGTAGACACATACAGAGACTACAACTGACAGGAACAGAAGAATGAACGAGAGAGAGAGAGAGAGAGAGAGAGCAAGAAAAAGAAACAAAGCCACAGAATCTTCATTTTCTGCCTGAGGTGGTGATCACCTTGCCTCAAATTGCATGCAGAGTTGAAGAACAACAACACTGTTTCTAATGTTTTTTTTTGGCTTTACATCAGTGAACTTTAAAAAAAAAAATGGCCAGGATATCCAAATACCAGAAGCTTCTCTGAAATTTTAGTTTGTCAAGTTACAAGCTACTATTAATTTTGCGTTGAGTTGAGCTACTGCTCTGAAAAAGTGAAGCTTTGCTACAAGCTACAAAAAATGCACTGAGGACATGTAAAAGGGCAATATTCATAAGAAAACTAACAACTATCTAATAACTATAAAATAAACTAACGGCTTCTGAAAGTTGCAATTTGTGGTCAGTTTGTGTGAACAGTAAATGTACATTTTGGGCCAACTTTTTCCACTGAAGCACTGACGTAGGCTAATTACACATTTACTCAGTTGTTACCAAAGTTCTCTCTATTTTGTTGTGGATCATTAAACTAATATGCCTTGATATGCTCAAAAATGGGCAGCAGCTGACTTGCATTTTATGAATCACCAAGGACCACGGTTTCAGCTACAATTTTTCTTTATTGTTCTGCTGAAGAAAAAAGTCACCAACATCTCGGATGGCCTGGGGGTGAGTAAATTAACGG